TTCATATATATGCACGCATTTAAACAAAATATATTCTACTCCACAACATGTATTCAATTTACATTCTAATCATCGAGGTAATACACCTCAATGTCGACATATTCATGCATCGGTTCTAGCTTCTGTCTAGCATTCGCACGAATTTTCAATTCAATGCATTTATCCATACGACATTGATTCTAATTAATCACTCAAGAAAAAGATTTTAGCTCTTACCTCTTTTTTCAGAAGTAGCCATGTGCCTTTTCAGCAAATCACTAGCATCAATCGTAACTTTCTTATTTCTTGAACGATTTCCGGGTAGAGGGCAACATTTGGAGTTCTTCTCGTCCTGCTTCTCTCCATAGTCCATAGTGACCACGAGGCTCACTTCTCTCAATCTTTGTCCGTAGTGAGCACCCCAGCTGTCCCTTCCAGGTAGTGTGGGCAAGGTTCTAAAAGGCGCTAGGCGTAAGGCAGGCGCTCGGCTCCTGACTTGCGCCTTGTCTGATTAGGCGTAGTCTAGGCGCGCCTAGGCGTTCAGAGCATAAATGGAAAAAGTTCTCAAATATTTCTTGTTTTCTGGAATAATTCATATAATCCAAGTGCATATAAAATTAGCAATGCCTAGTTCTTAACAGTAAACACTTAACATAACAAATAACAAGCAAATAGTGACCACTTCCTAGAATCACAAGTTCATAAAATGTCGAAATACTAAACAATAGTCAATAAGTTCATAGGAAAATGTTCATTCTTCATCATCCAAGTAGGTCCGTCCAGCCACCACTTCATCTTCATCATCCTCAAAAGCGATCTCCTCACCATCCTCCTCCTCCTCCTGCTCTTCAGATTCTAATTCTTCATCATGGAGCTCTCTCACTCGTGCACTCCTGCGAAGCTCACTCTGTTCACCCGCCATTGCATCTGTAACAGTACTCGAGGGTGCACAATATGATTCCTCATCCTCATCTACGAATATATACATAGCATGGTCATCCCCTTCCCGTGTTTCTGATTTTCTAGGGCAAGAGACAATTTTCTGATTTTCTAGGACAAAACGAAGAGTATTGGGTTTAACCGCCTAAGCTCGCCCAGGAATGCCCAGGCACGCCTTCTCTCCACTAGGCGCAAACTAAGCGCTATTCCTACTTACTAAGCGCTACCAGCGCCTTTTACAACGCCTTTGGCCAAGTCAAGGCGATCCTCCACCGCCTAGCGCGTAATTGAGCCTAGGCGTGCGCCTAGGCGCGCCTTCTTGAACGCTGAGTGTGGGCGACATGTCTTTCTAGGACTCCTTTACCAGCTTTGGAACACGCTTCTCAATTGAACTTGACTCCATTGATTGTGATCCCATAACTTGCGAATTAATCACCACCAATTTCAACAAAGCACCGTCTCCGCATCTGGCCTATTGCCTCCGCTGAAACACAACTCACCAAGGAACAGATGGCAATTAGCATAGTGATATAATAAAATAAGCTATAATGCTCCTGGACTTCGCCCTCTCGGAGATTGAACAAAATCCCTTTCCTGGCAATTATCGGCTAGCGGAATTCCGACGAGGTTCGTCCCTTCATGATTTCCGCCACTACCTCCCATGTTCTTCGTCTCATGGTGGCCTATGCTCGCTCTTTAGCTCATAAAAGTCCTTTCTCAATTAACCTGGTAGCTAGCGGCAGTCTCCCAGCGGCAATCCAGAAATCAAAAGGTCTCTATTTAATTTCCAGCGAACCCGACTTTGCTTTGCACCGGCGCCGTAGGTCCCGTTATCCGCCGATGCAAGTTAATGGCTTCGTTCTCCACCGGTCAATGGAAGTCGCTCGAACCAGTATCGGCACCCTGCTCGGCAAATACGGCAGCAACCGAACGTCTTAAAATTGTTAGAAACCGAACAGTAAAATAGGGTTACCGATCTGGCTGAGTCGCGGACTAGGTCGCTCTCTTTAAGACGTTCGCGGCACTGCCTCGTAATGCGCACAGCAGACTATCAGCCGGTCGCCTCCAGGATAAAACAGCCATTCTTATTTTATTGCTCATCGGTTTTGTGCGAAAAACCGGAGCTCTATGAATTCACTCTCACTCGTGTTTCTGCTCTTCTGAGGTGTGTTTAGAGGGTCTGGGGCGTCTCCTATTTATAGGAGCAGAAAACCCAGAATATTCCCTCTTTCTTTGGGAATAAGTCATATTTTAATTAGGGAGATAATTAATTAGGAATACTCCAATAATTAAAATATAATCTATTAAGATAATTATTCCTAATTATCTCCATAATATTCCTTTTATTAATTATCCATCTTATTTATGTATTATGGGAAAATACTGGATAATTAATTAGGAATTTCATTTATAGCTTTTCAAAGCTATTCATCCCAACAGCTTCACCCACGGGTTAATGGACGACGACCCCGAGATCAATTTTAGGCCGCAACGGAGCTCGGCCAATACTACCTAGTTCTTATAAAGCCTATTTGTTAAATTGTATAATGGTTGATATGCAGTTAACTGATAAAATATGTAGGTTTTTTTTTTGGTTTGTAGGTAATAGTACAAAGTTTGAAACTTTGCGGATGTAACTTTTGATAGTATTTGACGAATAAATCTCACTTTCTATTAAAAAATATGTGTAGAGGAAAGAGCAAATACGATAGGAAAGAAGCCACAACGTTGATTCCCTTCTTGATTTTTATTCTCCTCCATTTTGGTGCCTTTGAGTCTCTCCAAAACAGATATTTTTACCTTAATCCTTATTTTGGCCTGAACTATGATCATATAATCAACTTTGGCACGTGGTTTCAGAAATTAACATCCTGGCCTCAACTATGTAACATATAGAATCAATTAGCCCGACACCTAGTTTGACCATCAATTTCAATTTGGATGGTCAACACGCCATGTCATTGCCTCGTCAGCCTAAAAATCATTAAAAAATTCAAATTCGAACTATTTTTTTTAATTTTTATTATTTATAATCAAATTAACAAAAAATAATTTATAAAAACATAAAATATTTTTTATTTTATTTTTGTGTAATTTGAAAATGATAAATTTTATAAATTAACCAAAAATTATCAAATTATGTTATATATTTAACATTTAAAAAAATAAAATATATAATTTATATAATATTTTTTAAATTAATAAAATTTAATTTGATTTTTTTGGTTAATTTTAAAATTTATCATTTCAAATATCCCAAAAATTAAAATATAAATTTTATTATATATTTTTTAAATTTTATTTTATGGTTAATTTAAAAATAATAAATAATAGAAATTAGGAAAATAATTTGATTTTGATTTTTTAATAATTTTTCTGCTGACGAGGCAATGACATGGCGTGTTGACTAATGGTCAATAGTGTTGACCATCCAAATTGACGGTCAAACCATGTGTCGGACCAATTGAGTCTATATGCTGCATAGTTGCGGCCAGGATGTTAATTTCTGAAAGCACAGGCAAAAGTTGATTATATTGTCATAGTTCGGGCCAAAATAAGGTATTAACCCTTCCTTAAAAGACAAACATGGCTGCCCTTTTATAAATGCTCATTTATACATATTTTGAACCTATATTCTTGACTATTTGGTTTGAACTTCTCGGTCTCGACCATAAACCATTTGTAGAGGAATTTTACAATGCTATATAGCATTGGTGCTATAGGTTTTTGCCTTTATGGTACAACTTGAAATTATATCTTTAACGTTATGGTACAAGTTTAGATTGTACCTATACTTTTCGTACAAATTCTTTTATGGTACAACTTGAACTTATACTTTTATGTGATAGTACAACTTCAAGTTGTAAAGTTGTATCATAACATAATAATACAAATTCTTTTATGGTACAATCTAAACTTATACAATGTTATGGTACAACTTCAAGTTGTACATTAAAACACCAATATCATATAATATAGTAGAAGTGCTCCCGTATTGTCCGGTCTTAACCAGACAACACAGTTCCAGTCTTAGCCTCTTAGGCTCTTAACTCAGCTGTAGCTGTAGCTGTAGCTGTACCTTGTAAGTTGTAACTGTGTAAGGGCATATACCATTAGGGGTGTTAGTCGGTGCGGTTTCGGTTTAACCGCACCGAAATATCGGTTAACCGCAACCAAAATTGTCCCAAGATCACTAACCGAAACCGAAACCGACAGAGACTTCGGTTAACCGAAAACCGCAAACATCGGTTTCGGTTTTCCCTTGCGGTTAACCGAAACCGCAGGTTCTGGTTCACTTTCTCGATTTTCGTTCAGAAACCGACCACCCAAAGCCGAATTTCAACCACCTTTTTTAATGATTCACCCTCAATTTTGAGTGACCTGCTTTTGTTTCAGCCTCTATAATCACACACCATAAAGTCATCTAAATCAATTGAACATAAAGCCTAAAGCAACCACACAATCAACCACAACTCCACAACATAAAGTCTACATGCCCACAATTCAACCACAAGTCACAATCACAACAAGACACAAATAACAAGTTCATTATCTCCAAATCATCAACGTAAATGATCCGAGGATCTCGCTCCAATTCATCTAGCCCATAGTCATCATTTACTCCAAGATCTTCATCTAGCCCATAGTCATCAACAACCTAAGGTTCACTCTATCGAGTGCAAAGGGGATTTAGAGAGGGGTGACTTTCGAGTTCTAACTCTTAAAAACATTTGAGACTCTTGATGGAGGGTTGTTTGCAATAGGTGAGAATTGTGATGTTTGGAATTGCAACTTTGATTGGTTTTGAATCTTACAACTTTTTCCTTTAGCCAAAGTAAAAAACCATGTAGTCACACTAGTAGGCGGTTATCGGTTTTCTTATCGGTTAACCGCTAACCGATTAATCGGTTAGCGGTTAACCACTAACCAAAATACTACTAACCGAAACCGAAATCAATAAGGAAGTAGCGGTTATCGGTTAACCACTAACCGACTTTATCGGTTCGGTTATCGGTTAAAACCGATAACCGACTAACCGTTTATCACCCCTATATACCATATGAACCCTTCAATCCACCAAGGACAAAATTAAACCCAACGCATCAACAACCTTCTAACGACCTCTCGGATCTCCCCATCTTGACCCTTGCTTTCCTTCTCCGAGTATTTTATCTTCTCATCCACCCACTCCCCCGGCTCTCCATTTCACACCACTTGCTTCACTCTCCTTTCTCCGCCACTTCTCACTCAGTCACGCTCACCAGCAGCAGCTGCTGGAACCTCCCGCCGGCAGAACGCCATGGCCTGCTCAGCTACCTCCGCCGCTCTTATCTCCTCCATCCCGGCCACCAAATCCATGGCTTCTCCCTTATCTAAACCTTCCAAAACCCTAGCCCCTCTTCCCAACTCCTTTTTGGGTCTCCGCAAGCCCCTCTTCCAATCCTCCGCCTTCGCCAATGCTCGCTCCTCCGCTAACCGCGCCCTCAGGAAGAGCTTCGTCGTCAAAGCCACTGTATGATTCTCTCACCCCCTCATAATCAATTTCTTTCTGATTGAAGAAGCCTCTGTTAAATTGTTGGGGTTCCTTTCCACATTCCCATCTCGAATTCCGCTGTAATTTCAGTTGGGTAATTGCTCTTCTGTTTGTCTGTTGCGCGTTCTGTTTGCAGAGTGAGCTTCCTCTGGTTGGAAATGTAGCTCCCGATTTTGAGGCCGAAGCTGTTTTCGACCAGGAATTCATCAAGGTATTACTGTTTTTCAACTCAGAAGATAAAAATGCGCTAACGCTGTGGATAAAATGCAGTTCCTTTCCTGCTGCTCTCTGCATTACTCATTGCACCGTTTAATCTCGAACTCGTTGCAGGTTAAGCTCTCGGAATACATTGGGAAGAAGTACGTTATCCTTTTCTTCTATCCTTTGGATTTCACCTTTGTCTGCCCCACAGGTTTGTTTTAATGCGCTTTGGAAACTGTCTACTCTCTGAATTTGGACTTGGATTGATGGTGATTGTTCCTTTTTCATTCCTCTGCTCATACTGCCTGCCGTCTGCTTGCAGAGATAACTGCATTCAGTGACAGACACGCTGAATTTGAGAAGATCAACACTGAAGTTTTGGGTGTCTCAGTTGACAGTGTGGTAGGTTAAAGTCATTTAAGAGTATAAAGATGATGGGAATACCTGTATTCTTTCACAAATGCATGCTTTATTGTGTATCTTTAGGTTGAGGAATGATTCTGTCTTGATCTTGGGATGAATCTGAATGTAAACTTATGATATTATAATTGAATCTATACCGTCTTTATTGGAGCAAAACTCGACATAAGCTCACATGTGATTGCGTCCAGTGACCACCAAAAGTTTTCAGGTTGAACGCCAACAGTTTACATGTTACTTTAAGCTCGGAAAACACTTTATAACATATTCTGATCATTTGGCTTGTCATTGTAGTTCTCGCATCTTGCTTGGGTCCAAACCGATAGAAAATCCGGTGGCCTTGGCGATCTGAACTATCCTTTGGTATCTGATGTCACTAAGTCAATCTCCAAATCGTTTGGAGTTCTCATCCCTGACCAGGTAAGACTACTCTGCTGTTAGAATAGGTGGATGAACATATGGGGTTCTTGCTTTCATCTTCCGTGGCATAACAGTAGGGCTACTGCTAAGTCATGCTTTGAAAATGTGTAACAATGTCTGTTTTCATTGTCATCGCTAGGGAATTGCTCTGAGAGGACTGTTCATCATAGACAAGGAGGGAGTCATCCAGCACTCAACTATCAACAATCTCGCCATTGGGCGAAGTGTTGACGAGACACTGAGAACACTCCAGGTGACCAGATAACTCTGTTAATCTTGACTTCCAGAGCTTATCTTGATGATAAACATACTGATGGGAAGACACCATCTCCTTTTCTTTTCTATATTGCAGGCTTTGCAGTACGTGCAGGAAAACCCAGACGAGGTGTGCCCAGCTGGGTGGAAGCCTGGGGACAAGTCGATGAAGCCTGACCCAAAAGGGAGCAAAGAGTACTTTTCGGCAATTTAGAAGCGGAGAGTATAAGTCAAGTATCTCGTAAGCATTGTTCATTGGGAAAGCTGATGTAATCGAGGATTTTTTTTTTTCATTCTCTGTAATCTGTACCTTTTAGCGGCTAGACCCCTTTGGAGTGCCTTTTCCCGCTAGAATAATCGTACTGGACGAGTGAAACGCTCAAACATTTTCCTATGAGGCGGATGGGAAAAAAAAAAAGAAGAAAAGAGTACGTTTGTTTGGGTTCATAATCGTAGGTTTAATCAAGTCCTGTTTTTGGTTCATAATTTATCGACTTTGCGTATTGAAGGTCAAATGTGTAGCTTGATCTCCTAGCATTTGACAATTACTTTCCACCTCTGAAACTGATCGCACGGTGCATGGTTCCATCATCACCATAAGGATCCAAACCAGTATAGCGTAATCGCTGTGCTGCGAGTCTCAGATCATCATCATGCCAAGCCCTGTTCCCGCGCCTTCAAAACACGCGGCATCAGAGTTTTAAGTTCGTAGTTCCTCATATTATTCCCGTACAATGGCAAAGATCGGTTAATATTTCATATAAAGTATGGCTGTCTTTAGCATCGGGTCAAGATCAACTCAACTTCTGTTTTTATCGTAGAGTTGCTGGGCTGGAAATATGTGCGTTAAAATGGTTATCATAGTAATTATCAAATCAAATAAGTCTAAATTCTATTAACTATGAATATAATATCCTAATCAAATCGTCCAAACTAATACAACAACCAAATTAACCTAACTAAAGTTTAATCGGTTTGGTTCATTGGTTAACCAAATTAACCAATATAACATCACATTTTCATTAAGTGAGAAAAATTTCCTGTTAATCCATCAATTCGTAATTTATATAATAAATAAAACGTAACAATCATCACATAATTATAGATAATTATTAACATAAACACATGCAAACTAACACAATTGTCTTATATTCAATAGACGTATTCACCTAAAAGAAAATGTATGTCAACGAGTTAATGAATTGTTGTGTTTGTGTGAATTGGCATAGTCTCTTAGCAATTATCATAGGTTGAAAAAGACATTAATTTCAAGTTTTCGTCCAATATAATGTATGACTTTTATCTAATTTAGACGTGTATATATATATATATATATATATATATATATATATATATATATATCGCGAGTTCTACTGTACCCCGGGTGAAATCCGGGGTACCGCATACCTTAAGTAAGAAAACGCTATTCAGAACTTGAATTGACTGATCTTTCGGACATGATACTATACTCTAACCCTTCAAGATCAAAATTTAGGTCTTAATTCACTAAATCTTATACCCCAAGATCAATTTAATTAGAAACAATAATCGACGGTTATGATTCGTCCAAATATAGGCAAAAAAATCAATGCACCATCTTAGGGTTTATAGTTTATGATTTAGATAATTAGGACCTAGGGTTCACTCATAAAGGGTTAGGGTATAGTATCATGCCCAAAAATCCTGCTAATCCGAGGTCTAGATAGCATTTTCATACTCAAGGTATGCGGTACCCCGGATTTCACCCGGGGTACCGTAGAAGGCACCATATATATATATATATATATATATATATATATATATATATATATATATATATATATATTGTGATCTGCATCTACAAATACAAATATACAACATAAGAACAATATTGAGCTTTATTTTTCACGAGTCTAAAAGGAGGAACATTTGGCTGTTGAGTTGTTATGCAAACTATTATGTTTATATAATATATTAGATATATAGTTAACTAATTAATTGGTTAACTTGGTTTCATTGTTTAGGAGTGTCTGAAACCAAACCAGCGAAACCAAACATGCTAACAGATTTAACCAAACCAAAACAAATAAATTATCCAGATTAATCAAATCAAATTATCCAAATACTACCTATTAAAACGGTTACCACTTTGTTTGAATAAAAGAAAGACATTTTTTCCCCCACCATTTAAGGTAAAGACTAGAAAGTATTGACTTTGATAAGGCCCAAAACAGAATACACGTGTCCCGCATATATTATTGTTGGGCCGTTGCGTTGCCTTACTTGGAGAGATATTCATCATTTGGATCTAGCTGGGCCGAGAAAATTTGGGCTAAGTTGAATTAGTAGGTGCTAGAATTACTTATGTTCATATATTTCGTTATAAAATCCAAATATATGGTAAATAGTAGAGTTTCATGAGTTTATATTATAATATTATTATTAATTCATTTAAGTTGGATTGAGATTTTAATTCGTAGATTTTGAGTGTATTTATATCCATATACAAATTTTAGTTTGATATCTAAACATAATAGATTTTAATATTTAGTATCTAACACAAGTATTTTCATATAAGTTCTAAAAATATCAATATAATGTACATTTAGTACCTACATAGTTTTGTATAGCATTTTGATGTCTAAATGTTTTAAATTTTACAAATAGGTCAAATTTGAATATTTAATTAAAACAACCTCAAGTAAGTAAGCATCCATACCCAATCTATATGCATTTAGAATACGAAAGCAATACTCATAACCTACCCAATTCATTTAAAACTCCAAAATATACTTCACCGTTCATACCCTACCCCATAATCAATGAGACTATTTGACTTTGAGTAAAATTCCCTGTGGATAGATGATTTTTTTTATAATGGTGATGATATATTAAGAGAGAGAACAGAAAAAAAAGTCAAAGGCAAAGGTTCAAGTGATTGAACCAACCCAGCAAAGTCCCAGACAAGGAACCGAGCCAAAAACAAAGAAACAGAGAAAAGGAAAAAGAAAAGGAAAGGAAAAGGAAAGCCAACTAGGTGGAACCGGCCACCCCTGATGGTGCAACTGAAAGTAGCGAACAACAACAATCAACAAAGGAGACACGACAACAAAGCTGATTCTACGAGAGAAACAGAACCAGGAAAGCCAACAAAAAAGCATCGAGTAATGAAAACACTAGTCAGCAGGAACCAAAAGAGAAAAGCGCAGTCTTGGGAGGCATTAGATTCTTGAGAGACAGCCTGCAACCCAGCTCATGGCTTGGGCTTTATCGACTTTGTTATGAGCAGTAATCCGAGAAGTTGCCATCACCAAAATTTTGCGAGCGACAGTAGTAGAGTAAGTTAGAACATCTTGGAAGGTCCTCATGTTGCGTTCAAGCCAGAGTTGTAAATAGGCAGCATGAAGGACAACAAACTTGAGCCAAGCTTCAATACAATCCGGAGTTACAGTAGGCCATCTGCGGATAATTGACACGATATCACATCACCTGTAGGATAAAAAACAGCAGGACACCCTCTGTGGATAGTCATCCAGACATCTCTAGCAAAAGCACATTCAGAGAAGAGGTGATGAGCTGATTCTTCAAAGCTGCAACACAAGATACAGCGGTTCGCAAGTGACCAGCCCCTCTTCTTCAGATTGTCGAGAGTAAGGATTCTGTTGTGAGATAGAGTCCAGAGGAAGAAGCAAATCTTGGATGGAACAATTGTATTCCAAATAGTAGCGGCAGGATAATCTGGAACTCTCGGGAAATCATTCTTCACAAAATTTCTGTACATAGAGCTAACTGAAAAAGGTGAATTTGGTTTAGGAGTCCAAATAATTATGCTTGGACTAAAAGCGGAGAAACTAAAATCAAAGGAGTTTAATAAGGTAAGCAAACTCTCTCTCTCTCCCTGCACCCCCTCTCATATTAAAAATAAAATGAGATCCCATCTTACCACCTCACCATGTGAAGAAACAATATCGCAGATCCTAGCTTCCGATTTGGCAACTGCAGCAACGACTCGGTGAAAGGCAGTAGCAAGAACAGTTCCTGGGATCCAATAATCATACCAGAAGGAGACTTGAGATCCAATAGATAATTACCATCCCTATATGGTCATGCATCACACCGATTTCCTTGAGGATGGCGGGTACATGTAAACTCCAAACTCGCTAGTATTCAAATTCTAAGAATGCTACACAAAAACAAAACAAAAAAATAAAATTGCATGTGCACTTTGCCTAGTTATCTCATAATTACAGAGGCAATAACTTCACTTGGTAGGTCATAGGTAGGTTCTCCAAGAAGGTGTCAAAGCTAATTTTGAGTTTGACAATGGATTCCCTAATATACAACTGCCTTAATCTGACCTGAAAATCTTGGTTTACTTGAAAACTAGGCTTGTGATGCATGGGATAGCAATCCAAGTAGCAGTGGGTCGAATTGGTTGGGGCCATACGGTGGCGTATAAATTTCGGCCGAGTATCTTTTACTTGTTCACATTCGAAACCTAATCAAGATTCTTCATCCAGTTGACCTTGACCAGCTTCCTTTATGATTTGACTGAAGATCATCCATCATCGCAAATAATCCTACAACAACAAGTTGTTTAGTTGGTGGGGTTTACTTCAGAAAGGACATGATTAACTAAGATACGAGTTCTTATAACTAATTAGACAACAGTTTTTGTAAAGAGTTAGTTGGTTGGTTAGTACTGCTGCATTAACAAACACATCATGTGGCTCACATGTTGACATGCAGCAGACAGCAACTCCTTTCCACATCTAAGTGCTTCCTTCTCAACAGGTAACATCCATCATATAATTATTCGCCCAAACAATATAGATAGATAGCTCTACTGAAATAATAATTGATTAATAAGAATGAGGTCTCCTATGTATATATGAAACCATAATTGGAGGGACAAACTATATATATGCAATAATCAAATTATGTTGTTTTAGATTTTCTTTGCCCCTTGCCTCCTGCTTCAAGTGTTTGTCTGTTAGATGTTGGAGGAAGGGACGCAAAGGAATAGCATGAAACTCCAACGGTATACTTTCGAAATCCTTGTCATGATGAATGGTCATGGTGCTGGTGGGGGCAATAATATAATAATGTTCATGGCGGGTGGTGAGGTTCTTCTTATGATCATCATTGCTTGAGGAAAGGAACGGCAATGAGCAAATATGTATTCTGATATGGAATTTGGGTATGTAAATTTTTTTTTTTTTTTTTTTGGTCTAGCTGTTTGGTTTCCATGGAATTTAAGCCAGTCAAGAGCACTCAACTCTTTTCGGCCAACAAATGAGCGACTGAATGCATATGAGTGGTGTTGTATTATACATTTCTTATGTACTAGCTTTTACTCAACTTGTAAGTTTGATGAATTTTGTTTTATTGTTTTATTTTTTTATGTTTATCAATTGGTTTATATTTTTAGATTTTAGATGAAAACGACAATTTTTTTTAGTCGGTCCCTCTTTAGATTTGATGCTCGGTGGGCCGACAATCCTGAAGTCAAGGCCATTATAACTTATATTTGGAAAATGGAAATCCAGGGAACA